TGCTCACGAGCGATTTGTCAAAATTTACCAAATCTTGCATAGCGGCGGTAGCAGCTTAGTAGCCTATTCTACAATATAGGACTATAAGTTATAATTCGTAAGAAATTGATCAAAATCACAATCGAATATAAGAAAAATGCATGCGTGATACGGCGTGATTCTACATAATGCGATTCATTCCGCTTGCACGTATATCTTCATCATGATATAAATACAAGGGTATGCTCGTATCGTATCAAACCACTGCACATTTCCATTACTTTGTCTAATAAGGGAACACAACGGTCCCCCTCCAATTTAAATGAGCTTTTAGTATGTTGTTCTATAAACAAAAATAGGAGATATGTATTTTTTTTATATCTGCTGAGTCGCACCTTAAAGGGGTGGAAACCTCTCTTAAAAAAAAATCGATCTCTTTCTTTCGAAGCGAATATCTTCGAATCTATAAGAGATAGAAAAAAATTTCAGAATGAAAATTGAATGACTTCAAGAATACTTTATAACTATAATAAAAAATTTTTCTTAAATTATATATTTATTATATACCCCACACCTATTTTTAAGAATTTTTTAATTTTTATATGTCAAAAATTAAAGAGAATTTTACGCTAAAAATAACGTGTATTAAAATTACGTTCCGAAAAATCATTTTTCAGATATGAACGAAATTATCTCTCATACGCGCTCCGTATGTATTCGTCTCATACCGCATCTCATAACTGCGCGAAATAACGATGAAGACAAATACCACACAATTCGTCACAGTACAATATCAATACAGCAATGACTATTGAAATAAGTTTTTTATATAATAGTAGTACCAATAGGTAATAATACATGTAAGCAAATGTGATTTTATTTCTCTGAAATTTTTATGCGCAAAAATGCTTGTAGACAATTGAGTTGTAGGCAATAATTTCTATACGCAAATGAACTGTCGGTGATGTAGGCAAAAACGATGCTGTAGACAATAGATTTGTAGGCAAAAGGAGCTATCTCGATTAGGAAGAAGGGCCAAATTAGATCTAAGACTTTTGAATCTGAGTGGAGGAGAAATTAGATTGGTATGGATTATTAGATATTTTGTTTTTTTTTTGTTTTATATTATTTTTAATTAATTAATAGCAAATAAATCACAAAATTGTGCATATATAATTTATTAATTTATTTTATTTTTCTCTTAAAGTTGTAAGTTAATTCTTCAAACTGAAAATAATAAAATTTATAAAAATAGCTGCTTTTAATTAAATCTTAGAAATTCTTCTTATAACCTTTATTTTTTTTCTCCTTTTCCAAAATTAATTTCTTGCGAATGTTTATTAAACATAGTCCACAAATGTATAAGCTTTTGTAATCAGTTTATTTTTCTTTAAAATTTATGCTATCCCCTGCCCCTTCCCTTAAATCTGTTAACATTATCGTATAACATAATCGTTTTAGTACTATATATATGTACTATTTATGTACTATTTTTTAATACTACATATATATGTACTATTTATGTATTATATATGTATTTCTCAGAAAGTATAAGTAGGACGTTTCATGGATGTCTTTCTTTATGTCCATTTTACATTCGCACGTCCATGAATATAAAATGGACGATCGTACGTCTTTACGCATTTATTATTTGGACATTCATCATAAGCGGTACATAAGATGGCCCGTATTTAATGTAATCCGAAATTGTGACAAACGATGTCCAGCGGACGTTTTGACCACAGACTTATAATATATAAATACGAGTAGACTGCTGACTCAATATGATAGAAAGAAGTTAATCTGATCCGAGTTGTCCTTGTTTTAGTTCCTATATGTCTATGTATGCGTCCTGTCTGTGACTATCGTGTGAGTTTATCCATGTAATTTACATGTGTGAGGGACATTACAGAGGGACATTACAGAAGTGACTTACAAAAGTTGTAAGACTTAAAAAGACGCATTCAAGTAGTATTTGACCTAGAAGTTATTTGATCAATAGAATAGCGTTGTCAAAGTCAAATCAAGGTCAACATGAATTTTTTTTATGGAACCCCCCCTTTTTCATTACATATTCTTGTAGCTTATCTCGAGAACTTTCCAAAACACTATAATTAAGTTCATTTTCATTAAGTACTTTGCGAGTATAAGGCTTAAATATATATATGTATATATATATATATATATATATATATATATATATATATTTCAAGTGATATTGTAAATTACAACTTGTCTCAGCTTTATAACAATTTGCCCCATAGGATTGCGCAAAATTCAACTCTGTCAACTCGAGTATTATTTTATCCTTATTGTCACCAAATGTTGAATAAAGGATACTCAGAGTTGATAAAGTCAAGATTCGGAACGCACCCCAGTGGAGTAAGTTGTTACAATTTACCTATAATAGAAAATATTAATTTTCAGTATTTAAAAACATAGATACAAATCAGAAAAAATTGACTATATAGGTAAAGATATATTATATTTGAATTAATGCATAGATATTTATTAATTTAAATGTATACATTAGGACAGAAAAAATTGCTAATCAAAAATTGTAACAACTTGCCCTGGTCTCCCCTATATAGATTTAACAGATATTTACTGTTACAAAAAGAAAATAACATAAAATATCTTTTTATATATAAGATATGTAACTACAATAGTTATACAGAATATATTTCTTCAGTAAAATTAACATTATAATATTAAATCAATACACACATTTTATTCCTTTATTCTTAGAATTTATGTTTTAAAACTATTATTTTTATGTTATTTGTTTTACCTACCTATAAATTGTGTTATTTTAACATTAAGAAATGTTAAATTTTAGTTTTAAACAAAATATTCAAACAACATAATTATATTATGTTAAATTAAAACTCGAATATGTTAAAAATTCAACACAAAAATTTTAATAAGGATTCGTTTTAACATAAATACAAAATGTTTTTACTGTGTATTTTGTTAATTATCACGAAAATTGCAAAATGGTAGAAGACTTTTCTTCTCACTTTAATTCATTCTGTCTCTAGGTGAGAGTTTTATCATTAATTATTAGATATCCTGTATATCATGCTTATATAATACACGGAGAGAATTTTCTTTTAAAATTTATCCTGAAAATATAGTAATTCTGGTACAATACAATATTTAAAAAATTATAAATATTTAAAAAATTTTTACCATGTACTTCAGTAAAATTAATCCTCACCCCACTAAAGGAGGAGGATTCATTAATCATCAAGCGATTTCTTTTTGTGCAAATTTCTTTGAATCTTTTAGTAATTATAAATTATACTACATTTTATTATTTTTCAAAATGAAGTGCCAATTTATTTATTTCTAGAAAGTTAAAAGTATGTTAGTAGTATATGGACAAACATGGACCGTCAAAACAAATCCTCACTCCACTTCCGGCGCCGATGGCGTGGCCTGTCTGGAAAAATAGTGCGCTCTGATTGATCGACGCGAGGGTGGGGATAACAAAGTAATTAAATAGCACGTTTTGATTGGCTCCTCACACGCTGATTGGCTCTATCCATAGTCACCCACGCGGTGACTGGAGAAGGGTGGGATGTTGGCAGAAATAAATATCGTGACAAAATGGTGGATGGGAAAATCGAGGAAAATTGGGACCAAGACATTTTTTCGTTACTGGAGAGGGGGAAGGTATGAGCAGCGGATATGAATAGCACACAGTTTTTTATTCTGTAGGTCATTTTTTGCTAACGGCTCAATGTCTCCGGCGTACTAAAGTTTTAGTGAAAGGATTTCTTTTTATTATTTATGACGAAGACTTTTACAAAAATTTTTGAGAGACTCTTGCTTAGGAAAAAAGGGAAGATAAAACAAGAATGAACAAATTCGTGCTGGTATGTCATCGTATTCGGCGTGGTAATTTACTTGTTTTTAGAGAATAAATTTCTCTGTATCATATTTTCAGGATAAACTCTAAAAAAAAAAAGCTTTCGTATATTAATAAAACATAATCTAAACTATTTAGTATTATTACTTCTATGTAAATTTTTTTTTGAATGTTACAGTTAGAACTTATAACAATGATCTACGATTATTTGTTGGATTTTATAAGAAGCTGGCTCTGTAAACTACCTCTAATAAACTTTATATGTGACGACATATATATATCAAAAGTAAGGCGAGATTTTATTACTAAATTTTGATTTTTAAACGGTAAACGTTTGCATTTTAAATAATCTTCTGCTAATTTAATGATTTCTATAGAATTTTGTATATACAGATAAATTTAATTAATCCTTCTTACTAAAACATAACTAAAAAGATAACTTCTACACTTAACATAAATGTAAGTACTGTTATTAAACATTTCATTTAATTATAAACTTATTATGATCTGTGTTATTATTACAATTTAAATGTATTGTAACAATGTTAAAATTTTGAAGTTATAATATTATAAAGATATAGGTAACATGTAGGAGAGAGTTGCCAAATGCGTATTGCATACAGGTTGCTTAAATCATTTCATGTATATTTTACATTATTACTTATAATGTAAGCAACATTATTATTTAATATAAGCAATATTAAGTAAAAAAAATATAAAAAATATAATAAATAAAAAATGAGTAATATTTATAAAACAGACAAAAATTTTATACATATGTAGTGTTTTATGTATTAGAAACATATTAAAAAATCAAATATGTCTGATATTAATTTTTGATCGATTTATATAAATAATAATAATATAATTACGCAATTTGGTTATAATTTTTATATTTTTACAAAAGGAGGTTGTGTGAAATATTGTATTTTATTTATTTCATATACATATTTGCAATATTACAGATTAATTCGATCCTTTTATGAAACCTATCAAATTTCCTAAATACAATAGTACCGCAAAATAAAATTAGTAAATGACATTAATAAAATAATGATTAATCAATTAAAAAAAATTAATTCAATCCAATTTTACTTCAACTTTCTTGTCTTTTAATCATTGTTATTTAATAATTATTAATCTTTTTTTTATTATTAAAATTATTAAAATTATGTGTTTGTTAATTATTACATATTGATTAATAATTTCTTTTATTAATTTCATTTTTTAAATTATTGTCATTATTATAATAAATTAATATTTTCAAAAAATAATTTTAATGAAAAATTTCATAATTTAATATTTTTAAAATAAATACGATTTAAAGATCTATATGCACGATTTAGGCGATTGATTACTTTTTGCAACATATCACAATAAGATTCACAATAAATTTATTTGTTATTGATGAAAAATTAAATATTATGTAACAATAATCTCTCAAATATTAAACTACAATTTTCAATGTTTATATGCGCGTACATATCAGTACAAAATGGAAAATAAAAAACAAAAAATAAAAAATAGCTTAAATAATAAGCATTTAGCAACTGACTCCTATATCTGTTAAATAAAATTGTTTGCAATTTTAATAATTTTATAATGTAGGAAATATAGATCAGGGAAACAGAAACTCACAAACTTCTTTTATAATGCTTTTAATCCTTTGCGAAAACGCTCGCTATGTATATGTTCGCTCATATTCGAAAAATCTGAATCTCGATCTCCGCGCATTAAAAAATAGTGCGTACGCCTTAGAAAATATATATAGGTAACTGTTGATAATGGAAGGGATAACATGATGTACTCAGTTTGCAAGTGTCTCTCTCTCTAAATCTCCGCCGTCTCCGTCTATAAATGTCGCGTGAGGGGTAACTGTGGAACATTAAACATGGGGCGATATTCATAGTCCGTTTTTATTTTAAAACTGTCTTAAATAATGTCTTAAAATAATAGTCCTCGGATTGACTTATAACATCTTAAGATTGTACTTAAGACAGTCTTAAATGCAAGAATCGACTATGTGAGTACCGGCCTGTTGACAGGGAAGTATAAAGTGTGTTTCTCTTTCTATAGAAAGAGAGAGAAATATAAATTGTATTAAATAAGAAAAGATTCAATATCAATTTCACGACGCGAAACAGACCAGTACTCATAGTCGATTCTTACATTTAAGACTGTCTTAAAAATAATCTTAAGCTGTTATAAGTCAATTCGAGGACTGTATTAACATTTTAAGACATTATTTAAGACAGTTTTAAAATAAAAACTATAAATATTGCTCCATGTTTAGCATTTCACAGTTGGCAGTCTTTTCCCCTCACGCGACATTCATAGACAGAGAGATGGCGGAGATTTAAAGAAAGACACTTGGAAACTGAGCACATCATATTATCCTTTCCATCATGCTCCAATCCATGATGCAAGTCTATTCACATCATGACTCCAATCATAATATAAGAAGACAAGATATACTATTCCCGAGAATACGCAGTAAGAGAGTAAATTTGAGGCCAGAATTTGATTGGCTATTCTAATATGCCTGCGCTATTATACGCAGGAAAGTGCATAGAAGTCAATTAATTAGATCGGTTATTTCCAGTATTGCTAACGCCATTATGCGCATGGTACACCTTATATTCTTATATCATGGTTCCAACATCTATTGTATCTTGTCTAAATGCTTTACCATAATGCATATGCGTTGATTATTATTATGTAGTGATAAGAGTGTTGTACTTTCACCTTAGAACATATACATGTACGTTCAAAACTCACATATAAATTACGCGCAAGCGCATAACAAATATAAGCTTTCAGATAAGATGTTGAAGATACTTTTTATATTACATTGATTAGATACGGTATGGCCCTTCCAGTATGTATGTTTAAAAATTCTATAATCAGAGTTTGGCGATCAGAAGTTGTGCCCGCTTTCGCCAAACTCTAAATAGAATCTCTATGTATGTTCTAAGGCATGCGCCCTCGTCGCTAATAACTAAGTTTCTTCCGAGGGTTAGAGTTGGATCAGAGTGCAAGAAGTGACCAATCACAATTGAGCATTTCCCTCTCATGTAAGAAAGGACTGTAAGAGGGGAATACTCAACTGTGACTAGTCAATTCCCAGACTTTGATCCAACTCTAATCCTCTATGGAAACTTCAATTATGATAACGAGATCCGGGGCATGACGCTGGCGACGTTCGTTTCGATTACACGCGCTAATCAATACTAATTATGAATAAAATAACATACATTGTTAATTAAATAATACAGAACGGAAAGAAGTATAAAATTCCTACAATAATACGTTAAACTATAAATTTTACATTAAAACTATTTTATGTATTCAGAAATTGCTTATAAATAATTGGAATATTAACAAAAGCAAATAATTAATTTTTAAAATCTCTAATTATTACAAATCGCAACTACGTTCTTAAAAAATTAAAAATTAATTGCTTGACTTGTTTTGTATATGTTTATGAATTTTATCCAAAAATTAACAATATCGTCACAGTCAAAATAGGTCGAAAAATAACACGTTACTTTTTATAATGTTACTATTGTTACTTGTTTCCGATAATGATCATTACTTTTTTTTCTGAATGATAACAATAACGTCGTTACATTTTTATGAATTCAATTGTTACTTTTATCGTTACTTTAACTATAACAATAATGTCTATTCAATAGATCGTATTATTTTGAATGGGATAGAAATATTTCATTTATATATTAAAAAATATTTTATTTTACACCTTACAAGGAAGAACAGGGATATATCTCTCTCTTTTGATGAGCTTTTAATCTATTGTAGCCAGTATAAGGAATACGTATCCGTGCACACTTCTTCAGCGAAACACTCGATCGATTAGTTTCATTTGAAGTGAATATTGTCGAAATAGTAAGGAATGGAAAACAATTTTTTTATAAAAATATGTATTTCTTATTTTAGTCTAAATTATAACGTATTTATATATATATATATA